CTAAACCTGACCCTAATGCTCTTCACCCCATTGCCCCAATTAACCCCAACCCACAGGCAAGAAAGTGGCAGCCCCTGTTGGGGGAAAATGTCCTTGATCTGCTCCATAGAACATAGAAAATAGAACATTACAGCGCAGTACAGGCCCTTCAGCCCTCGATGTTGTGCCGACCTGTGAAACCAATCTGAAGCCCATCTAACCTACACTATTCCATTATCATCCATATGTTTATCCAATGACCATTTAAATGCCCTTAAAGTTGGCGAGTGTACTACTGTTGCAGGCAGGGCATTCCATGCCCTTACTACCCCCAGTCAAAGAACAAAGAACAATACAGTACAGGAACAAGCCATGCAGTCCTCTAAGCCTGTGTCGACATATTTTGCCCTTTCATAGTAAAACTGACTTCACTTACAGGATCCGTATCCCTCTATTCCCTTTCTATTCATGTACTTGTCCAGGTGCTTCTTGAATGCTGCTATTGTGGTTGCTTCCAGCACCTCCTCTGTCAACACATTCCAGGCACACTCTACCTTTTGTGTGAAAAACTTGCCTCACATATCTTTTTTAAACTTCTCATCTCATACCTTGAATCCCTGTCCCCTAGTAATTGACCTCTCCACCTTGGAAAAAAGCCTCATACTTTCCACTCTATCCATGTAATTCACAATCTTATAAACTTCTATCAGGTCCCCCCTCAACCTCCTGCATTCCAGTGAAAACAAACCCAGTCTATCCAAACTTTCTTCATAGCTAAAATCACCCATACCAGGCAACATCCTGATGAACCTTTCTCTGTACCCTCTCCAAAGCATCCACATCCTTCTGCTAGTGTGGTGACCAGAACTGTATGCAATATTACAAGTGTGAAGTTCTGTAAAGCTGAAGCATAACTTGCCTATCCTTATACTCAATGCCCCTTCCAATGAGAGAAGCATTCCATAAGTCTTTTTTACTATCTCAACTAGCAGCGCTGCTATCTTCAGTGATCTGTGGACCTGCACACCCAGATCCTTCTGCATATCAGTACTCCTAAGGGTTCTGCCATTCACTGTATAGTTTCCACCTACATTTGACCTTTCAAAATGCACCACCTCACATTTGTCCGAATTAAACTCCATCTTCCATTTTTCTGCCCATGCCTTCAACTAATCTGTATCCTGCTGTATCCTCTGACAATCCTCCTCACTATCTGCAACTTCACCAATCTGTATATCATCTGCAGACTTACTAATTAGACCAGCCACATTTTCCTCCAAATCATTCATGTAGCTCATGAACAGCAGAGGTCCCAGCACTGATCCCTGTGGAACACCAAAAGTCACAGCCCCCATTCCAAAAAGCATCCTTCCACAGCTACCCTCTGTCTCCTATGACTAAGCCAGTTCTGTATCCACCTTGCCAGCTCACCCCTGATACCATGTGACTTCACCTTTTGTACCAGTCTGCCATGAGGGACTTTGTCAAAGGTTCAATGAAGTCCATGTAGACAACATCAACCACTTTTCCCTCATCAATCATCTTCATCACGTCCTCAAAAAACTTAATCAAGTTAGTGAGGCACAACGTCCCCTGCACAAACCATGCTGTCTATTGCTACTAAGTCATTTGCTTCTAAATGGATATTGATCTTGTCCCCAAGAATCTTTTCCAATAATTTAATTACCATCAAAGTGACACTCTCAGGCTTGTAATTTCCAGGATTATCCCTGCTACCTTTCTTAAACAATGGGACAACATTGGCTATTCTCCAATGCTCTGGGACCTCACCTGTGGCCAAAGAGGGTACAGTCATGGGTGATCTGGTGCATGGTGGGGTAGAGTGAGGTATGTGACAGTGGAGCTGACCACTAAGGCCACAACATTGCATTGTCGCTAAACTCCCGTTCCCACAATTTGCTCCCGAAGGTCACCCACCTTATCTGCTTCCCCAGGACTGTGGCAATGCCATGTCATCAACTGGGGCTAAGTCTCTGAGGTGGTACCACTTTCCACAATGGATGCCAGTCTCTGTTTGACCAGCAGCTTAGGGTGGAACAGCATATCACTGCCCCAGGAAGTGAGGCAAGGTAAAGCCCACAGGTGACCACGCAAGTGCCTGATTGGCACAAGGTCAAGTAGGCATTTCCTTCTTGTTGTTAGTGTGAAGTATGCCCATAGGCCCAGGAGAAGTACCAGGCCCAGGACAGAAACAAGTCCAGAACAGAAACAGCCTAGGAACAGAAAGAGCCCAGGAATTGCTCCCTCGCAGCACCTGGGACCCGGGTTTGATTCCACCCTTGGGAGACTGTGTGGAATTTGCATGTTCTCCCTCTGTTTGCATGGGTTTCCTCTGGGTGCTCCTCCCACGGTCCAAAGATGTGCAGGTTAGGTGGATTGGCCATGCTAAATTACCCATAGTGTCCAGGGACATACAGGTTAGGTAGATCAGCCATGGGAAATGTAGGGTTACAGGGATAGAGTAGTGCACTAGGTCTGGGTCAAATACTCTTTGGAGGGTTGGTGCATACTTCATGGGCTGAATGTAGAGGTTCTATGATTCCAAAATAATGGAACAGAAAGAAGCCAAGGTGCGGCAGCAGGGCACTGAGGAGGAGGAGCACTGACCTGTGGGGGGAGGCCAAATCCACTGGGCTCCCCCAGGATGGGTCGATGCCATGGGAGGACCACAGTCTTCCAGTCCCTAATTTGCATAGGAACATAGCCATTTGAGTCTGTTCCACCAATGAAGTCATGGCTGATCTGTGACCTAACTCTATATATCTGCCTTTGACTCATATCCCTTCATACCTTTGCTTACCAAAAATGTATCTGTCTTCGAATTAAAATTAACGTTTGATCCAGCATCCACTGCTGTTTGTGGAATACAGTTCCAAACTTCCAATCTATTTAACTTCATGCTAAATACCCTTTTTAGGTCCAAAATGGATAACCTCGCACATGCATACATTGAACTCCATTGCCACAGCTGTGCCCATTCATCTAGCCATTGCAGTGAATGTTATGCTACTGATGACATTGCTGGTTGAAAAGTCAATTTCAAGATTTATTGCTTCATGGTTTATTGAAATTCTTTTGCCTGAATTCCTTTCAGTAGTTGCTGACTGGCAGCATTCAGAGTGGGAGACATTGATTTTTTCATTAACCTGCAGTGCAGGGGTATTTAAATTGTCTTTCTCAGAGCTGTGACCCTCACAACACAGGACTTCAAGCAATAGGATGTCAGACCATTAATACAGGCCAAGGTTATTGCTAATTTTTAACCACAATTCCTGTGAAATCTTGAAAGGGGAAAATGAAAATATGTCCTGTCTGCACTGCTGTCTTTTTTTAAGCCATTATGTTCACACTACATGATACTCATAGGAGATTATACATTCACTTTATGTAGTATGAAAATCTCTACAGTTCAGAAAGAGGTCATTTGGCCCATCAAGTCTGCACCAACCTTCCACCCAGACCCATCCCCCTACCCTATAACCCTGTATTTCCCAAGGCTAAACCACTAACCTGCACATCTTTGGAAACCCACACAGACACAGGGAGAATGTGCAAATTCCACACAGACAGTCGCCTCAGAGTGAAGTTGAACCCAGGTCCCTGGCGCTGTGAGGCAGCAGTGCTAACTACTGAGCCAATATGCCATATATACCTACCCGCTTTGAAGCTTCTTTCACACGTTATCAGGTTTGACTGAGCCCAGAGTCCCTCTCTCTCCAGGCAGTCACTGAACTTACATTTGCTGTCAACCTTTGACTGGGTGACCATTTAAAATAAAAACATGCATGTTGTAATGAATATTGGGTCTGTTCATAGGAGCTGTGGGCATGACAATTGTTACAGAAACTTTGAGATGGATCAGATGTCTGATCTCATTCATAAAGGTATAGAGTTATCAGCATGGAAACAGACCCTTTGGTCCAACCAGTCTATGCCAAACATAATCCCAAATTAAACTGGTCCCACCTGCCTGTGCTTGGCCCATATCCTTCCAAACCTTTCTTATAAATGTATGTATCCAAATGTCTTTTAAATGTTGAAACTGTACCCGCATCCACCACATCTTCACGCACTCTGTGTAAAAAAAAACTTGACCCTCATGTCGTTTTAAATCTTTCTCCTCTCACCTTAAAAATATACCCCTAGTCTTGAAATCCTCCACCCTAGGGAAAAGACACCTGCCATTCACCTTATCCATGCCATTCATGATTTTATAAACCTCTTAAAAGTCACTCCTCAACTTCCTACACTCCAGTGGAGAAAGGTCCCAGCCTGTCCAGCCTCTCCTTATAACTCAAACTCTCCATTCCTGGCAACATCCAGGTTAATTTTTTTCTGAACCCTCTTCAGTTTAATAATGTCCTTCCTGTACCAGGGCGACGAGAACTGCACACAGTGCTCCAAAACAGGCCTCCCCAGTGTCCTGTACAACCTCGACATGACGTCCTGACTCCTTCACTCAAAGGTCTGAACAATGAAGGCAAGCGTGCTAAACACCTTCTGAGCTGTTCTGCTCACAATCCATGACATCTTCTAAGTGGGTAGTGCTCAAATGGACACTTTCAGAGCCATATACAACAGCTTGCTGCATTTATCCAGTGAGCAACTGACCCATTCAGACTGTCAATCCCAGGGTCAATCCCTTCTTCTCAGTGTGAGGTATTGATGGGAAGATTTCCTTCCTTTGTGTCCCTGAGTTGTGAACGGGAATATGAGTCACAGCTGTCCATCCAACTTTAGTAGCTATGGGGGCCGGATCTGAAGGGACTGCCCAACCAAGTTGAATAGCTTATGAACTTTCACAGGCAAAAGTTTCCAATGTATTATAACGATCAGTGCCCATGGAAACATGCATTAACAGGAAAGTCATGACAAAGGAAGAACAAGAGCAGAATGAAAATTGACGAGGAAAAGAAGAATGATACGATTTGTCCTTAATGAATGAGGTGGTCAATCAAAGTGAAAATTGAATTTAATACAGGTGTTTTCTCTACTGATAGGTTTGAAATCAATTTTGTGTGTGACAGTACTGAAGAAATAGCATTCCATTTTAACCCACGCTTTACTGAGTCATCACTGGTGTGTAATTCCTACCTGGCCAACAAGTGGGGTGAGGAGGAACGAGTCACATCATGTCCACTTGAAGTTGAGGAACCATTCCAGGTAAATCATCGCACGTTTCATGCATTATCGATTTTGAAAAGAAGATGTCACTTTTGCAGCTTCAGTTTTGCAGTGGCTTATTCTAGGGAAGGCCGTTTTTATAGAAGTTAGAGGCAAAACACCCTCTATGTTATATTTGAAAGACTGAACTGATCCTGTTCAATTCTCTCAGGCCAAAGATTACAGCGCATTCACCTCTGCTGATAATATGGTGGGGCCCAGCTATGAATTTTGTTATTGTCGTGGTTAGGAAGGGTCAGGTATACCCTTCATCACTTTAGAGAGATTGCTGAAGCACTGATGTCTTTTAACAAGACTTTTCATTCAACTTTAAGATTAAGCTGAAAGTCTAAACAGTAGCACATGTATACAGCATCTCATGTGATCTTATTCATCACTTCAGAAGTGGTTTAATATTAACGTATTTGAGTATTAATTTTTTATGCTACATGAATGTGAGTGGATCTCAACTATGATCCTCATGCCGTGTTGAATCAATTGGACTATTCATAGAGTTGACTGAAATTATAAGAAGAAAATGGGCCATTCCATCCAATCAGGCCACACTGACTTTATGCAGCAATGTCCTATTTTCCTGAACCTGCTCCCTTCCCATCATGCCTGTCCTTCAACCAACCTTCCAACTTATTCTTAAATATTGGCATCAGCAGTTAATTTCCTCAAAGTCAACACTATTCAATTATCATCTTTGTTCAAAGGTGGTGGAAGCAGAGTTTATGAATAATTTTCGGCATTCTTGATGATCAAGGGTTGTTTAAAGGTAGTGAGATTGGGTAGGTGGGAATATTGTGGAGTAATCACATCAGCCAGAATCTTATTGAATGGGAGAGCAATCTCGAGAGGCTGAATGGCCTACACCTGCTCCTAAATCAGGTGTTTTAATCAGAGGGATTAGAGAAAAGAAATTTTTGCATTTATGTGGCATATTTCAGGATCTCAAGGTATCTTAACTCCCTCTGCAGCCAATAACATACATTGAAATATAGTAACTTTTTGAACATAGGAAATACACCAGCCAATCTCAACACATCTCCAACAAACAGCAGTCTGGTAGTGAGATCAGGAACAAAAACAGACATTTCTGGAAAAGCTCAGCAGGCCTAGCAGCATCTGTGAAGAAAAATCAGAGTTAACGTTTCGGGTTCGGTGACCTTTCCTCAGAACCAGACTGGAAATGTTAACTCTGACTTTTCTTCACACATGCTGCCAGAGCTGCTGGGCTTTTCCAGCAATTTCTGTTTTTGTTCCTGATTTACAGCATCCGCAGTTCTTTCGGTTTTTATTTGGTAGTGAGATCATCTGCTTTGCAAGTTCATTGAGGGATGAAATCCATCGTCACAGCCCCACTCCTATTCTTCTTCAAAAAACCTCCCTGGGTTCTTCAAGCTCCTTGTGAGAAAATAGCTTGATCCGAGTTGCATGCAAGTTTCCTGGTTCCATTAAATCCGGTAGGGATCAGCGCGGATTCTAACATAATCCTATTTTAAATGAACAGCAGACTACCTCTGTGGCAACAAGCTTCAGTGCAGATGTGGTGCAGTGATGTTGGACTGTCTTTTGCAAGTGAACATTAGATGAGAGCAATGAGAGGCTGGAGAGAATGCTGTTCTGACAGCTCCCGATTTTATCCCTTAAGGGAATTTCCTGATTTCTTCACGAATTCCTCTTAACAGACCATGTACTGTCACAGAACAGCTCTGTAAGAGGGCAGCATCTCACCACAGTGAAGATCTGTAAACCCAACAGAAACAGAACAGGAGGGACAAATGTTCAGGGCATTTTACATGTGCTGCCAAAAAATAAATGCGGTAATCACTTTTATATTGACAGAGTGATTCTAGCATGAGAGCAGGGCTCACAATCTTCACTAAGAGGCATACACCAACAGCCTTGGACAATCACACTCTTTAAACACTGAGCTCCTCTCAATGGTTCTTGAAGCAGCTGAACTGCCTGCAAATACAAGTAGACTATGAGCAGACTGAGTATATATTCTATGCCATGTGGCCATACTTTTGTAGCGTCTGTGTGCTACTGTTCCTTTTCCTCATCCACAGGATAGAGAAGTACTCCTGCAGGGAATGTCTATAACTGGAAATGTCATGATGAATATGGTATTTTCCCAGACAGCTGGGACCTTGTAGTAATTGCCACCTCTACTAGGATGTGCTCCTGTTTGAGGTAGTTCAGTGCTACCAATCCTCCTTTGTCTTTGGCCCATCTAGTGACTCACAGTGGAAGATACATCATAGAATCATAGAATCCTTGCAGTGTGTAAGCAGGCCATTCAGCCCATTGTGTCCACACTGACCCTCTGAAGAGCATCCCACCCACACAGACACAGGGAGAATGTACAAACTCCACACAGGTGCCCAAGATTGAAGTGGAACCCGGGTCCCTAGTGTTGTGAGGCAGCAGTGCTAACCACTGAGCCACCGTACTGCCCACTGTAGCAGATACAGAGGAGTGGGATTCTGACATAACAAAAAGGTTGTATTGAAGACATGAATTAAATTCAATTAATAAACCTGGAATTAAAGCTTGTCTCCGTAACTATGGTCATTTGGCATACAATACCATTTGTTTCACTCATGTCCTTTAGGGAAGGAAATCTGTTCTCCCTACCCGCTCCATAAGATTGTAAGAATGGGAGTAGGCCATTTTGGTCTTTGAGCCTGCCCACCATTCTAGGTCTGGCCGACATGCGACTCCAGAACCATGTGGAGTGGGTGACTCTTACCCTTGCAATAGCCTAGCTAGCCATTCAGTTTGAGGGCAAATAGGGAAAAGAGACAAATGTTGGCCTTTCCAGTCATATCTGTATCCAAAGAAAGAATAAATTAAAAGTTGTTACAAAGGGGATGTTAAATGAAATGAACTCCTGATAGTCACTCTACAATTAACGAGTAACAATTTATTTATCTAATTCTAATAGTTAACAAATTAACAGAACAACTAACAAACTGAACAATTCCCCCTTAACTACTAACTATTCCCAAATAAAAGAAAATTCTAATGGTATGCTATTAAAATAGATCTACGTCCCACTTATATAAACCAAATTAATTTAAAAAAACTTAATCTCTCGAAATTACAGCCAGGATAAGTCTTCTGGAATGTTCTTTGCATTCTCCACTGTCATCCAGTCAGGAACGCCTTCCTCTGTCAAATTCTTCTGTCAGGAATATTAGCTATTATTGTATTAGCTAAGTGCTGTAAATCCTTTATTTGGATGGTGCTTACTCTGAGAGCTTAGAGATTTCTGTGAGAGCAGTGATTCTTTCTTTTATAGCTCAGAGCCTTTCTCTTGACAGATAAGTTGATTCTTTCCAATTTTCAAATGCCCTTGATGACCTATTAATTTCTTAAAGTAGGATTGCTCCAAGATTGTCAAAACCATCAGACTTAAATGTAACTGGGCTTTGGTATCTAGGGCTAAATTCAAAAATATGTTGTCCTGCTAAAAATGCTACACTAGCTGCTAACATTATAGCCTTTTCATACAATGTTTCAATTTCAAGAACACTCTGTGCATCTGCTGCTGCTTGCAGACATTTATTTTAAACCTCCAAACCTAGAAAACACATCATCTTTTAAAGGGACCACACACTCTTCCCTGCGACCATTTTACAAACATCAAATTCTTACATCCTGCCTTGCAATCCACAAATACTCCACCCAACCTCACAACAAAATAAACTTTGTATTCTAGCCAAGCAAATCATCACAGTATCTGAAAAGATTGAGAAAATTCTCATTCAGTTGATAAATGGAACACGTCCGTGTTCATTTCAATGATCCTTTCTATGAAATATGTACTAATGACAAACAGAAAATTCAGACCGGGCATTATAAATCTTTTTTAACCATTACTCTGCTAGTGTTTCCCACAGCCTCGCAAGTAACTGGGCAGGAATGTTTCCCTGCTTTCTGTCAAAAAACCCTTTCCATATCTGAATCCTGACCATAATTTCTGATGTCCACCCATCTGTACAATCCTCCCAGAGGCAGCTGCATTGGCATGCTGCCACTGGGAACCTCATACTATGCATCAAGAATCCACCCCAGTGCCTCAAAGTGACCACGCATTCACTGTGTCCCATAAAGTCACAGCAACAGTGTTTATTGACTTCAGGCCTTCCATGAGCAGTGAGGCGTAAACAGACCAGAGAATGTCAACACCCTGCAAAACGATCATTCGGTATGAAATTGTGAGTTTCCTTTTTGCTTCGAATTTCGTCACAGTGCCCCTTAGGTGGTCTGCCCTAATTTTTTTTCTCGATTTATTTAAATAGGAGATGAAACTCATAGCCCTGTGACTCAGCAATAAGCCTGATGACAACTGAGAAACTCATGACTGTCTTCAGATGTTTCAAGATTGTCACAATGTGATCATTAAAGATGACCATTATCATCTGTATGATCATTGATATGGATTAGTGTCTTCTGCCTATTCTATATCCACCACACTGTGGATATACATGGAAAGACTGCCACTTTGCTACAGATGAAAGCCATTCACACCAAGCATTCATAACAATAAATTAAAGCCAGCCATGGAGGCTGTGATTTTAAGCACCAACAATTGTCCTGGAATAAGCTTATCCTTCCTCCTTCATCTTCAGTTCTCTGCCCAGTGGCAGGTCTGACCCATGGCCTCAGAGACCCACACTGCAGGTAGTGGAACCAGAACAGGGATCGGATCCCCTGGTGTTGGGACCCAATCTAATCCACATTGGCCATTCAGCCAACTGAGCTAACCGGTCTACCCCGGAAGAGTTGGAGTTGCTGTGGCAACATACACAACATCACAGTGGCTCAGTGGCTAATACTGCTGCCTCACAGCGCCAGAGACCCAGGTTTGATTCCACCCTTGGGCATCTGTCTGTGTGGAGTTTACACATTCTCTCTGTCTGAATGAGTTTCTGCCGCGTACTCTGGTTTCCTCCCACTCCAAAGATGTGCAGGTAGGGTGGATTGGCAATGCTAAATTGTGCATAGTGTCCGGGGAATTGGATTAATCATGGAATATGCAGCGTTAGGTGGGTTGGTCTTATTGGGATGCTCTTCAGAGGGTCGGTGTGAGTTTGATGGGCTGAACGGCCTGCTTCTGCACTGAATGGATTCTATGATCACTGGAAGCTGTACATACAAGAGGGTCCACATGTCCTTCCATCATTTGGTTGACCATGAACCTGTCCCTTACTGCCTGCCGTTGGCCATTATTGGAAGGATTAAAGGCTGATCCTTAACCTGTTTGGTCAGATTCTGAATTTGATGTCCTTGTCCATTGAGTCCTGAAGTGGGACTTGAACATGGAGGTTCTGGTTTAGAGGCAGAGACATGACTTATTGCCCCACAAGACCCGATCCATCAGTTTATAAATAGCTTCATTTACTTCAATTTGCTCATTGCGGACAGTTGGGTTGAAGAAACAGGCAAGGTGCTACACTAAATATCACAACCATGCTGTCAATGACCTGTGACCATCACAATGAGTGATCTAACAGTTACTGAAATGAGGCCTTCAATGGTGACAGGGTGTTTTCTGTCAATCACTGCCACAGCTTATCAAACAATAAAAGGCCACATTTCAACTATGTTGAATGCATTGCAAAATTCCCTGTGTTACCCATAACAACACCTCATTGAAAAAGAAACATTTATTATTTCCCACAAACAGAAAGGCTACAAACACCTATCAAGTCCATTAGCATCTTGAAGAGCCTAGGACCAGACGGCATACTTTCAGAATAAAGGGGTGCCAAATTAAGACTGAGATGAGGAGGAATTTCTTCTCACAGAGGGTTGTGAGCCTTTGGAACTCCTTGTTACAGAGATCTGTAGGGGTAGAGTCATTTTATATTTTTAAAGCTGAGTTAGATAGATTCTTATCAGTAGAAGAATCAAGCATTATGGAGGAAAGACAGGAAAATAGACATGAGGAATATCAGATCAGCTGTGATCGCATTGAATGGTAAAGCATGCTCAAGAGGCTGAATGGCCTACCCCTGTTGCTATTTATTAGAGTTTTATATGTTCCTGTAGACATTCAAAAGCGAAAGTTCAAGGTGAGATTGGTCATGAGGATTAGCAAGTTCAGGTGGAATTGTTGCTAGAAAGAACTGAACCACATAATATGGACTGGGCCATTACGTGAGGTGATGGGGGAAGTGGGCATGATTGATTAATTAACAGAAGTCAGTAGCTCAGATATATTTCAATTTTCCAGCAGCCCCTTTCTATCATTACATATACAGAATTACAAAGAAAGACCATTGGGCCCATCCCATCCATGCCTGTCTACTTCAGGCCTGATTTTAACGCCAACAGATGGAAATCCTCCACGGTGAGCTAACTGTGAAGGCCCCGAGCTTCAGTCCCAGTAGCCATTAGTATCTAGTGGATCTGTGCCCCACTGAAAAGCAGGGGCTGGAAGGGGGATGCCAACTCATGGGAATTCCAAAGACTCCACACAGTACCTGACAGATCATTCCTGCTCCACACCTATCCTCAGAAAAGTTGGATACCTTGGCCTAGCTGTTTTAGGCACTCTGGGAATTCCCATTAGTTCTGGCCATCAGGGTTTCATTATCTTGGACTTTCCCAAATTCTGAGCTAAAGATTTGCCATAGCATCTTTGACATCAAATGTCTGAATGTAAAGTCTGTTCTCTATCTGCCTTATTTTGGGGGCTAAACAGTGTCTCAGGGCTTATCACTGCTGCCTCACAGCACCAGGGACCCAGGTTCAATTCTACGCATGGGCAATTGTCTGTATGGAGTTTGCAAATTCTCCCCATGTCTGTGTGAGTTTCTCCCTGATGCTTCGGTTGGGTCCCACAGTCCAAAGATGTGCAGGTTAGGTGGATTGGCCATGGTAAATTGTCCATAGGGTCCAGGGATATGTAGAGTAGGTGGATTAGCCATGTGAGATGCAGGGTTACGGGGATAGGGTAATGGGATGGTTCTGGAAGGGATGCTGTTCAGAGGGTTGGTGTAGACTCAATGGGCTGAATGGCCTGTTTCCACACTGTAGGGATTCTATCTCATACATACTTTGAGATTAGTAATTATGGAGGCACTGGCATGGAGACATTGGGAAGGCAGTACAGTCTGTTGGAACTGCTATTTTAATGATTCATATTTACACAGAGAAGACTGGGTTAAAATCAAGCCTTTTGACTTTGTCCAATAAATTCAGTGAACATTATTACATTTCAAGCTCCAATCTTAATTAATTCGAGCTAATATTCCTAGCTTTGAGATGTTCACCTATTTTGTTCTGTTTATATGCCAGGTTGATATTTATTCTGATGAGGAATATTTTCACGTGTTGCTTGATGGGACTGCTGTTTGTCAGTTCAAACATCGTATTGAGGAACTCAATTCCATCACCAAGGTGCAGGTGCTGCATGATGTCAATGTTTCCTCAGTAGAATTTACCAAAAAAGCCTTTTGGTAATTGTTATGGAAAAGCCAGCAATGAAGAGATGCTGACATCAAACTAAACAGAGATGTGGAAAGCCGGACTTTGGTCACCACGTTGTTCATAAAAAAGAAAAACCTGATTATGAACTGTCAAGTCTTAATGAAAAATTGTGTCGAAACAAGATTCAATTATGTTGATCCATATGACAACAGTGACCTACTTCAAAAGATCAAAAAACTCCAATGGCTTGGTTGCATTGTTGACTGAAACCTTACACTTAAATTTACGACTTGCACCAGCATAACTAAAATATTCATTCAACAAGCTGGGATGGAGAGAAAATAGCTCCCTTTTAGAGGTACAGAAAATGAAAAACAACAAGTTGTTAGTAAAATAATTAATGGAGTTTATGAATTTGATTACACATTGATCATTACACATGTTGTTACAGGATTTTCTTTCACATATAAGGGGTTAGAAACAGTTTCCTATCATTATCTTAAATACGATTCTTCACAGTATTTTGTGTATATGAATCAACATGTATCTCAATAATATAAGGGAACATTATTGATTTAATTTTAACCCATGTAGAGATTAAATTCATTCTTGAATGTGGATCTCACTCACACGGGCAGTGTTTTTTTTTATCTTAGAGAAGTGACAGACGTGGTCTGTTCTTGAAGCCTTGAGGAGACAATGTGGTGATAGTATTCCAGCTGCATGCAAAATGGAAATAGAGATTGAATTATTAAATATTGTAGGTGCAGGTGTGTTCTTTGAAGAAACAGTGGCTGTTCTATTTACCAAACAACCCCCAGTCAACAATGGCATGGATTATATGCCAGGTGAATGAATACAAGATGCTTTCATACCAACAACCTGCTTTACAAGAAACACTCCATGCAATGGTTTCATCTTTCCATTAAAATAATATCTGGGATCTTATTGAAGCTGCTAATAGGAAAAGCCCTTTTTGGTGCACTCTCATCCACTTAGGACTGAGGAGATGCTGGCCAACTTCGGGAGCTTTGCATTTGGCAAATTCAATTTTTTCTGTATTTGAAACTAGGTTCAGGTTGTGGCTGGATAGTTCTTGTCTGTGAAACTGAAACTGAAACTTCACAAGGGCTGTACACCAGTGCAAGTTTCTAACATCACCACATCACCATCCCACATACACTAGAGTCATACCTTCATACAGCAGTTCAGCACGGAAACAGATCCTTCGGTCCAACTCCTCCAGTGCTAACCAGGTTTCCTAAATTAATGCAGTCCCATTTGACAGAATTTAGTCAATATCCCTCTAAATCCTTCCTATTCATACAACTATCCAGATGTCTTCTAAATGTTGTAATTGTACCCTCCTCCACCTCTTGCTCTGTTAGCTCATTCCAAACACACACCACCCTCTGAGTGAAAAAGTTGCCCCTTCAGTCCCTTTTAATATATTTCCCCGCTTACCTTATATCTATGCCCTCTAGTTTTGAACTCCCATACCCTGGGAAAAAGACTTTGGATATTTACCCTATCCATGCCCCTCATGATTTTCTAAACCTCTATAACATCACCCCTCAAGCTGCAATGCTCCAGGGGAAAAAAGTCCCAGCCTATTCTGCCTCTGTCTATAACTTAAACCCTCCATCCCTGGTAACATCCTTGTAAATCTTTACTGCACCCTTTCAAGTTTAACAACATATTTGCTATGGCAGGCAGACCAGAATTGAATGCAGTTTTCCGGAAGTCGTCCAACCAATGTCCTGAACAGCCACAACATGATGTCCCAACTCCAATACTCAATGCACTGATCAATAAAGGCAAGCACACCAAACGCCTTCTTCACTATCCGGTCTGCCTGCAACTCCACTTTCAAGAAACTATGAACCTGTCCCCCAAGGTCTTTTTGTTTGGCAACATTCCACAGGATTCTTCCTTTAATTGAATTATCAAAAGCCTCGGTGGAACACTTAACATTTCAGAAAACCTCATGGATTGTTCACAACCAAAATTTAACGTGAATTAGATAACACTTTTCAGATTAATTTGCTTTGTAAACAGGGTCTTTGTCGGCTTTACATATACTGATACACCAGTTCATAGAATCCCTACATTGTGCAAGCAGGCCCTTTGGCCCAACAAGTCCACACTGACCCTCAGACATCACATGCAGACCCATCCCCCTATAACCCAACTAATCTATGCATCCCTGAACATGGCCAATCCACTTAATCTGCACATCTTTGGACTGTGGGAGGAAACTGGAGCAAACCCACACAGACATGGGGAGAATGTGCAAACTCCACACAGACAGTTGCCCAAGGTTGGAATTGAACCCGGGTTCCTGGTACTGCCTCACAGCAGTGCTAACCACTGAGCCACCATGCCACTCTGAATAGTTTAACAGATGTTTCAACTATTTGAGGTTGAGACAATTTACATTAAAACAAATTACCTTCAAATTCATCACTTGAGTTTGTTCATCCATGTAGTCTTTAATTGATTTCAATATAATCAGCTTACATAATTCAGCCTTCAGGCAACCCTTATCGACTAATAGCAATCAACTAATTCCACAAATTCAGGTAGGCTGATTTATTTTGCTCAAGAAATAAAAGGCCCAAAATTAATGATACTCCATTACTGCAGTCAGCTGTGAAATTAGTTGAAATAGCAAAGAAAGGACAAGTTTCTGCATTGACTTAGTTACAAGGAATTAATGTGGTCACACAGGCTGCTGTAAACAAATTCACTCATCTAGATCCCTGGATTGTGTGGCTTCTTTACCCATTCCATCGACTGAAACTCTCATGCTGACACAGTTGTTGTAGTTACAAAAGCCTTGGATTTGGTAAATATCCTGCTTGGCTTTTACAGCCTGTGAAAATATTCTTTAAGATATCCTGGTTTTACCCTCTGATGCTCCTCTTCAGACTGTGTGTTCAAGTTGCAGATTACCAATATTTATTGCTTATTTATTTCTTTATTTAATTGTCAAATGTTGCCTTGTTAAATTGTTCCCCAGAATTATTTTATATATTTAGCACTTGCAAGCAATGCTTCCCCACTAATTAAGAACTTCTGAACTAAGTTATAGAAGGTCACATTTCAAAACAATATTCCACACTGTTTCTCTGTACTGGAATCCTTCTCTACTGGAATCACTGAATAATAGTGTTTAGCAATGTTAGCACACAAGCTTAGTTTCACTTAGAGATTAATGTAAAATAATTTGTTTTACAAATGACTCTTGATCTTTCTTTATTAATGAAGACCCTTTGTTTCAATGTTTCACTGTTATACTGTGCAATGCAATCACATGGAGCAACAGAATCAGTGTTCTCAAACAGACAGAAGCACAGACAGATAGAATTAACCGAAGGGGCAGGATCCGGTGGAATGGCATGCACACTGTTAAGGTCATAGGGAGGGAACCACATGAAAGCCAATCACACACTAGTCTTTACAAATTGGGAAATCTCCCCAGTGAATAGGTGAATTCTAAAAACAATTTTAACAAGAATGAGTGCATCATCTATAAATCAGAGATTATAGGCTATTTCTTACCTGTCCTTATGTTTCTGTTACTTTCTCTTGACCTCATGTTCCGATGCATGTTCTTTAAGAATTGATACAAGGTCAGGGCAGATTTCTTTAGAACTGTGAATCTTGTTGCATTGTACATGATGATAAGGCCACAGAGCAACATGTGCAGTGAAATAAGTCCACAGATACCAGTATTCCATCGCCAAGTCTCTCTCTATGTACACCTGAACAGTCCTTGACTTTAGTACTGCCTCATTCAGTGTCAGGTACCAGAGTGTCAGTACTGTCGGTTCTGATATAACGCGATAGTTCTGTTCTTGTGCAATCTCGCATTATAAGAAAATGCTGCGCCATTTAAACTAATGGGACTGGAATCACATTGTAGCTAATACATATAAGGAAAGGTTGCGTTCTACAAATAGTGGTTTAAATTCTTCAATCACATTAAAGCCAATTCACATTGAAGAAACATGTTTATAGCAGAACCAACTGTATCTCTGACTCTCACCCTTTTTATCTGTCAGCCAGGACTCCCTGACTGGACCAATCAGGGGACGCATATTCTATGAAGTCCAGCTGGCTGACCTCATTACAATCACCACATATAGGGTCCAAAGTTTTTGTGGATCAATAATGTATGACCCCTGAGGTCAGAGTGACATCACTGTTTAGCTCAGAGGGACATGTATAGAATCATCAAAGCCTAATTTTACTCCTTTCTGACTCCTTTCATGAGACTCTGTCTCTCTTGTTTCTTCTGTTCATCTATTTTCCCCTATCATTTATTTTTCATTCTCCAACTTGCTCTTACTTTCTTATTTTCCTTTAGGCGTGGAATTGTGTGATACTCACAGAACAAAAGAGGTCACCAAAAATGTACAGTGGCATGCTTCAAGCGGTGAACATTTAATGACTCCCACAGACTGTGCACAAAGGCACTTACAGGATACGCAGAGGTTTCATGACTATAGCAAACCAGCTTGTATACTAAATACAATTACAATTCTGTAAATCTCCCCCTTTTCACAAAACAAACAAAAAGATGGCATGAACTATTATTTGCTAATACAAATTACCCAGCAAAAATGATCACAACAAAAATGATCACTCATTAACAAGACCATGTGTTAACTCTAGTAGGCTGCCCTTCCATCAATCTCTTGCATGCATTGTCTGTGAATTGTACAGGTCTCCCAAATAGTTCATACACACATTGCAATTGGCTCTTTATCTGGTTTCTGGTCACTGCTAGGCTGTTGCTTCTCTGGAAAATATCATTCCCATGGCAAGTGATGTTGCCATTGTAAATGTTGTTACTGATCTATTTCTATTGCTGGGGAATGGTCTGGAACTGATGAGATGATGTACTCTGTGCCAGTGATGAGACCACATCTATCTACTGCAGTGAAGGAGAGCCATCTTTAGCTGTACATAGATGTCTGCAGTTTGCAACGATATATCTTGTCATTCATGTTCACCACGTACAATTGAGGTGACAACTGCTCAACACAGGTGTTGTGATATGGGATAACCTTCATTGAGAGATTAAATGTTTGCACTCTAACTGTCTTTGCAATCTGGCAATGACTCAGCACTTTAATAAACGTGAAATTTAGCCTTCTGTCATTTCACCTTGATTTAGCTTCAGTTGTTTTTTACTATTGGAAGAAAGTTTGGACGCAGCATGACATTAGTCTTTGCACGGAGCTGCTTTCTGAGTCTTCAGTGGCTGTATTTCTACACTGAAGG